CTGATTTTCTCTGAGTGTCAGCACAAGAATTGCTACAGGGAAAAGCTGCAGGAATAACATAAATGTCAATGGCACAACTACAGGCAGTGCAATTGCTTTTCCAACTGAAAGGACCCGTGCACTGAGCTTCAAGGACAGAAGGAGGTATGAGGAAGCAATGGCGTCTAGTTGGGAATTGATGGATGGTTTTTCTTCTAGTTCTGGTCTCAGTCAAGCACCAGTATTGCTCTGCTGCAGGAAGCAATGGATGGATTACAGCAAATGTCTGATCTTTGATCAGCTGCAGAAACATTTAGAGCTGCTGACCTGTGAAAAACAGGCTCAGATCTCTTCCGTTTCTCCATTTTAACTCACAAAAAACATTCTGCCCACCGATGCCAAGAATCGTCCTTGAAGTCTTGTAACTGACTGCACTGACCAATAAACAGTTAATTACTGTTAATTACTGTGTCACATCACAGCATTATGAGGCCTCTCAGGCTTGGAGACATATCTCAAAACATAGAGATTACCTTAGCTTCTATCCATGTCTTTGAGTAATCAAACATCACTGACAGCCTGCATATGTCTCTGAGCATGAGCACAGAGACATCCAACTGTTGTCTCTATCCTACATCTGTGGAGAAAATGGAGTTAAACAGGGTCTCACCATTTGGATGAACTTGTTGCATATCACCTTCTTGTCACCCCTGCAGAAAAAGACAAAAATGACTACTGGTGAAGCTGGTAAAACTGCATATTCTAGTTTCCCCACCCTTTATATTTGACCTATTTTAATATTGCTGAACACATGTTGCTTAAGTTCTGAATGCTGATGTTCTACCAAAAGCCAATTTTAAGCAGAAAATTTTCAGGAAAAAAAAAAAAAAAGTTTATGTATTTTGCAATACAAAGGTGAGGGGAGAATGTGGCAATTCTCTGAGCTTCCAAAACTTTGGTGATGTGCCTTTCTCATCAGTGCTAGCACTACGCACAACAGCAAACAAGTGTGAGGTGAGGCAGGTGTGTGTCTCCATTCCACACCTATCAAACAGGGGACAGCAGTGTCAGCTTTACAACTACAGCTCCACAGAAGTTGGCAAATGCTTCCACCAGGTTCCACTGTGTTCAATCAAACCCTATCTGCTGCTCACCATGGAAAGATCTGAGTGAATGACTGCAGATTAGATGAGCTGTATCATGTTCTATACTGATGACCAGGCTTGGATGAGAACCCACACCAATACCCAGAAAATGTGCTGCATGGAGAGCATCACTCTCTTCATACAGAATTGTAGAGGTTGGAAGGGACCTCTAGAGACTGTTTAGTCTAACTTCTTTTAAACAAATTTTCCTACAGTGGTTGCACAGGAACAGGTGCACCCATCCAGATGGGTTGTGAATATCTCCAGAGGAAACTTCACAACCTCTCTGGGCAGCCTGTTCCAGTGCTCTGTCACCTTCACAGTAAAGTTCTTCCTCATGTTTGTATGGAAATTCCTGTGTTCCCACATCTGCCTGTTGCCCCTTGTTCAGTTGCTGCACACCTGGCCTCATTCACTTGAATCTGGCACTTCAGATATTTATAAACAATGATGAGATCTCCTGTCTTCTCTTTTCCAGGCTGAAGAGTCCCAGGGCTCTCAGCCTTTCCTCATACAGGAGATGCTCCAGGATCTGACCATCTTCGTGGCCCTCCATTGGACTCCCTCTAGGAGATCCCTGTCTTTTTTGAGCTGGGGAGCCCAGAAGTGGACACAGTGCTCCAGATGTTGCCTCACCAGGGCACAGCGAAGGGAGAAGATCACCTCCCTCACCCTGCTGGCCATGCTCTCTGCAGCACATCTCAAGGTACCATTGGCCCACTGGCCTTCTTGGCCCCAGGAGCACACCGCTGGCTCATGGCCAACTTGTGGTCAACTGTTGGTCAACCAGGACACTACTGACCTTCTCAGACCAGGCCTTCCCACACCGGGACCCCTAAGTCCTCCCTGTGGGTGCAGCACTGGACACTGCCACCAGACTCACCACTCCTCTCCAATCCTGTAGACGTAGACAATGTTGTCTGTTTGGCCAATGGCGATTTTGGTGGAGTCCGGGGAGAACGCCATGCCTTTCACCACGTAGCTCTTCCTGCCGTACTGTGGGCAGAGGGCAGACTGAGCCCGAGAGGAAGGCCACCACGTCCCATCCACACAGCCCACGGCCACGGGCAACAGCCCGGGCTCGGTACCCTCACCTTGGCATCGGCAGGCTTGGTGGAGAACTTGTCACGCCGCTCACCGTGCTCGTCGTACAGCAGCACCACACGCTCCGCGGTGCACACGGCGAAGCGGCCGCTGTTGGCCGACCAGGCCATGCAGGTCACACGCGCGGTGCCGTCCTGCGGGACACACACAGCTTCAGCGCCAACACAGCTCGGATGCTCCCCGGCTCCCCCCGACCCGAAACGACCCGAAACGACCCGACTCGACCTGCGGGGCCAGCAGGGTCCGCACGTGCCGCAGCTGCATGATGAGGGACTGAGAGCGATAGCAGCACCGGATCGCACCGCCGCCGTACCCCGCTACAGCCCACACCCGTTGCCTAGCAACCGCTGAGCTGGCACCACTGATGACGTCATCAACACGCGCGTCTGTACCATACAACGCCCCGCCCCCTTCCTGTTTCTGCATCTCCACTTCCGGTCCCGCCCCGTGCCAGTTTCGGCAGTTCTCAGCCTCGGCGGGGCCATGGAGGCGCTGCGGGCGGCGGGTCGCGCTGTGCTGCGGAGTCCGCGTCTCGCCCGGCACGGCCTGGGGCTCTGCCGGCGGCGCAGTGAGTGCGGGCCGGGAGCGGAGGGGAACAGAGGGTCGGTACAGGGCCGTGGGGCGGGAAGCATTGGTCTGGGCCCGGCTGGCCCTGGGACAAAATGAGCTCCGTGGGCCCGGAGCCAGGCTGTGGCTGGGGGTGGGTTGCGGCCTCTGTGGGGCTGAATTGGTGCTTAGAGCTTGAAGCCAGGTCCTGGGTGCCCCGTCCCTGGAGGTGTTCAAGGCCAGGTTGGATGGGGCCCTGGGCAGCCTGGGCTGGTATGAAATGGGGAGATTGGTGGCCATGCATGTGGCAGGGGGTTGGAACTTCATGATCCTTGAGGTCCCTTCCAACCCTGGCCATTCTGTGGCATGGCCCGGAGGAGGGCTCCCTGGTAGCTGCAGCCTTCTGTGCTATGCGGATGAGGTCGTCTGATTTCCCCGTGGATTCAGGATGCTTCAATTATGGGTCAGAGCTTTCTATAAGCGTAGCAGTAACGTTCTGGGAGTTAATCCCAGGAAAGAGGTGAAAAATAACCCTTTGAAGCATTATCTGAGTGTGAATGGCAGATGCATAGGTAATTCCCAGGGAGGGATTTCAATCTAGTGCTTCTAATGGTGTATAGAATTCAGAGAATCACAGAATGGCCTGGGTTGCAAAGGCCCACAATGCTCATCCTGTTCCAACCCCCTGCTGTGTGCAGGGTCACCAACCAGCAGCCCAGGCTGCCCAGAGCCACATCCAGCCTGGCCTTGAATGCCTGCAGGGATGGGGCATCCACAGCCTCCTTGGGCAACCTGTTCCAGTGCCTCACCGCCCTCTGGGTGAGAAACTTACTCCTAATATCTAACCTAAACCTCCCCTGTTTCAGTTTAAAATCATTCCCCCTTGTCCTATCACTATCCACCCTCATAAACAGCTGTTCCCCTTCGTGTTTATATGCTCTAATTCTTTGGTCCTTTTCACTCCTCCTGTATGGGTGAATCCAGACCAACTGACTCCCAGTACCTTAACCCTTCTCATCCTATGCGACACAGGTGAGGCTGTACCTTGAGTGTTGTGTTCAGTTTTGGGCTCCTCGCTACAAGAAAGACATTGAGGCCCTGGAACACTTAGAGAGAATGGCAGTGAAACTGTGAGGGGTGTGGAGCACAAGCGTTATGGGGAGCAGCTGAGGAGGAGGCTCAAGAGAGATCTCATGCTTCTCTGTGTCTGAAAAGATGTAATGAGGTGGGGATTGACTTCTTCTTCTAGGTAACTGCTATATAACAAGAGGTGATCGCCTCGTGTTGTGCCAGGGGAGGTTCAGGTTGGGTGTTAGGAAACATTTCTGGGCACAGCTGCCCAGGGAGGTGGAGGGCTCACCAAACCTGGAGGTGTTCCAGATGAGGGTAGATGTGGCAATGAGGGATGTGGTCAGTGGGCATGGTGGGGTGGGTTAGGTGAGTGGGCTACATGGTCTTAGATGTCTTTTCCAGCCTTGGTGATTCTATGATGATTCTGCAATCTTCTCTGTCACCATCCTTCTGCTCTCTGAGATTTGAGGAGGTAAATGTGTACTCAATTCTGCTTCAACTGTCCTTGAAAAGCATCCCCAGAGGAAGTACTTGGTATGAAAGAAGTGTTCCTTTGTGCATGGCACTGATCTCCTAAGCAGTTTTTGATGAGACTGAGCTTTTTGTTGGCTTTATCTGGTAGGAGCAGAGCTTGTAATGGATGCTTTTACAGTGCTTGTTTTTTGTGTCCTCTCTTAGTAACAGTGGTGCAAGGACTCCTTCTACCAGCACTTGCAGAATGTGAAGTAAATCAGTTTCTGAAGGAAGCTGAACATGCTGAGGGCCCTCTCTAGGGAATCTGAGGAGATTGAGGAGGTAATTGTCTACCTCTGCTCTCTTGAGACCCCACCAACAGTGCTGAGAAGCCCAGCATAAGGAAGATGTGGACCTGTTGGGGTGGGTTCATAGAACACCATGGGGATGCTCAGGGGGCTGGAACACCTCCCTGTGAGAACAGGCTAAGAGAGCTGGGGTGTTCAGCCTGGAGAAGAGAAGGCTTGAGGTAGACCTCTTTGTTGCCTTTCTGTACCTGGAGGCCTACGGGACAGCTGAGGAGGGACTCTTTTAGTGAAGCACTGGCACAGGTTGCCCACAGAGGTGGTGCAAGTCCCTGCAGACACCCAAGGTCACGTTGGATGGGGCTCTGAGCACCTGGTGGAGCTTTGGGTGTCCCTGTTCAGTGCAGAGTTGGGCTAGATAACCTTAAAAGGTCCCTTCAAGCTCAAACAGTTCTATGATCCTTTGTCAGAGGATGCAGTGACAGGGGGTAACAGCCTTAAACTAAAAAGGGAGACTTAGATTAGACATTAGGAAGAAATTCCTCACTAACGAGAGTAGTGTTTGAACAGATGCTCTTTGTCCTTTATTTTTTTTAATAGATTTAATATATAGATAGATATATAAATAGATTTAATAGTAATGCACATGGAGTTCTCTTCCCTCTGCTCATTGGAATTCATCCATAAAGCACATTCTTCTGGAAGCTAGCTTGCACTCTTTAAATGCCAGTCTGAGCTGTTCTGTAACACAAAGTCTATAGGATGATTGCTTCCCAGTCACCTCTGCTTCAGCTGTGAGTGCTGGCCATTCTGCCCCTTTCCTGGCTGCCTGCTGCTGCAGATAACAGCAGGTAATAGTTTGGCTTTGCTTGCAATGAGGCAGCTTGCAGATTTTGATCGGAGTGGGGCAGCAAATACTGCTGTTCTTGTGGTGTGGCAGCACCTGAAGTGGATGAGGTGAATGCAGTACATAGCACGTGCTGCTTGCAGTGAAGGAGCTCAGGCCTGGAAATGTTAGGTTCTGATCGATAGCACTGAACACTGCAGATCTGAGGCCCTGTGAAGATATACAGGGGCTTACTGTCTTGGCTGGCAGAGCTTCTACCTCCAGGGTGAAGGGCTTCGAGGTTGAACTCTCCTTTCATTGTGTTCTTCCAAGATTGTCACAGAACCAGGAGAGTGCTGTGGTGAGTGCATGTAGCAGCACTGCTGCTGGGAGCACTGAGCTGCAGTGAGGTGAGATGGCTCTGCTGGGACTAGCCACAGGGCAGCTGGTTCATGGCTTCTGCTGCTAAATCATTTTGTCTTCACAGAGCTTCCCGAGAGCTGGGCTGACATGCAGGAACCGCTGCTGGAGGGGATGTGCTTCACTCTGAAGTATCTAGGCATGACACTGGTAGAGAAACCCAAAGGGGAGGACATGGCAGCTGCTGCCATCCGTCGGATCGTCGCCACGGTGAGAGCCAGCTCTGTGCTGGGGTAGAAAAGAGCCAGTTTGGAGCTGGCAAGTAGACTTGGGAGGCATCGACATGACAGTCCTTAGCTCTATCTAGGGACTGTGCTGCTCCCAAGAGGAGGGTGGCTTGCAAGTGACAGGCTGATCTCTACCTCTAGAGGAAGCTGTTTTTCTGCAGGACAGCCACTGTTGCTTGCTTCCACACAGCTGGGAGCAGAACTTTGTTCCTCTCCTCACAGAGAGGAGGGGGAGAACTGGGGAGGGTGGGGTCCATCCTTTCATGGCAGTAGTATGAAGAGACTCCTGGGCTGTCATACATAGGATGTGCCTATTCTCCAGGCTCTTGCTTTCCTGTCCCTTTAGCAGGAACCTCTGCAGCATGAGTCCAAGTGAGTGACGTTCTGTACAGAATCTGGGGGGTGGCTGGCAGCAGGGTGGGATTGAGGACCCTCAGTGGCTCTTCAAAGATGTCTGGTGTGTCTCCACTGCCAGGCACGGGTGGGAGCTCGCAAGTTCCAGAAGGTGATTCTGACAGTGTCTCCAAGGGGCATCTCACTGCAGGACGCCGACACGAAGGAGATGGTTGAGAACATCTCCATCTACAGGTGGGCACAGCATGCAGGAGGACCTGGGTAAGGGAGGTGATCCTAGATGATTCCATGATTCTGAGTGTTCCCGAGCAACCAGTGGGATCTTGAGCAGCAGGGGTGGGCTGGGCCTCGTGCTGGCCCCCACAGCACTGCCTGGGTCTGAATGCATGCAGGGACCTGGGCAACTCTGTGTTCTTTGTCAGTATCTGGCCTTTTCTGTGGACTCTGCTTGTCTCTTCTGCATCCTGTGTTCAGCAGATTGGGGCTGATGGATAGAAGCAACTAGGGCAAGACTGCATGCCTGCCTTTTTTTGCTGATGAAAGACCACCCTTCTGCCTTCTGGCTGCAGTGGCCTCATTGTGCCTTGGCCTGCAGCTCACTTGAGCTGACTAAAGACAGTTTAAAGAGCTGTTTTCCTGTTTGTTTGTTCCCTCCTTACTGCTGCCAGTTGTACTTTAGCTGTGTATTTGTGGGAAAGGAGCACGGCTGAATGCTGATTGCTAGATGAGAAGCAGAGTCAGGATGTGTCCTTGGTGCAAAAGTTGGGACTTGGCACAAGAGCTGATACACCAAAGCAGAGCATCCTACTGCCTGGCCTCCAGCTGTGCTCTTGCTTTTCTATGCACCTTTTGGTTCAGTGCTTGAGTTCACACCTGGGCTTGAATAAGGTGTCAGAAGACCAAAGAGCACATTGAGCAGCACAAGTTGGGGATACCTGTGGATGTAGTGATCTCTTACTAGCTCTGGAGAGCTGGGCTGCTGGTTATCCAGGGCAGGTGAAAGTCTCGGGCTGTCTCTCCTGTTTGTTGGTGTGCTCAGAGCACAGCAGACCTGTGCTGGGTTTCCCTGTTGCTCTGAGCAGCTCCTCTCTGCCCATAGGATCTCCTACTGCACAACAGACAAGCTGCAGAACAAAGTCTTTGCTTATGTTGCTCAGAGCCAGGAGAGCGGGGCGCTGGAGTGCCATGCCTTCCTGTCACCCAAGAAGAAGATTGTAAGCACTTCTCTTTGGCTCTTGGCTCTTTGAGGTAAGGGTGGGTATGAAGCCCTTTCTTTTTCCCCTTCAGGGAAAGCAGACCCTTACTTCTGTGCCCCTAGCTGGAAACAGAACCAGGGAATGCACGTTTCCTCACATTGTATAGAGGTGGATGGTGAGCAACAGGAGGTTCTTCTGTCCCAGTTCCTCTGGGATCTCCTCTTGGGAAGGGTTGGCCCATATGAACAGACTGGCAGAGCACTGAGCCTTGGCCTTCCACACGAACTTTGCACAGGAGATGTGACAAGGGAGGCCTGGAGCACCTCTGTTCTTGGGCAGCACTATTGCTATGGCTTGGGGTGGAGATGGAAGTAGACATTTTCCCTCTTTTTTGCACACAGGCCCAGGCCGTGACTCTGACGGTGGCCCAGGCCTTCCAAATGGCACTGGATCTCTGGGAAGCAGCAAATGCAGGTAGGAGGAATTTCTCTGACATTTCCCTCTGCCTAGTCCTGGAATTGGAGTCTACATTGCCAGATCCTGTTTTGGGCTGTATGGAGGAGAGGTGGCTTGCTGCTTGGGTGGTGAAATGCACCAACCAGGGCACTGTCCTTGCTGTTGTGCTCTTTGCTGCTTCCCCATGCGGGGAGCATGCCCTGTCTCTGGCTGGGGGTGTCCCTGCTATCCATGCTCAACTCCTCTGCACTGCTGAGCTATTGCACAGCTCAGGGCCCTGTGGGACCTGCCCTGAGCAGTGTCCCCCTCACCCTGCTCCCATGTTTGTTTGCACTGTCCCCCCGAGCACAGCAGGGGATCTGTCTCTTGCCCACAGTCCTGCCTGTTCACCCCCTGCTAAGCCTTGTTCAAGTTCCAGGCGCTAACTCTGCTGCTTTTGCCCTGTCCCAGGCTCTAGGCAGGAACAGCCCCTTCACCCTCCATGTGTCTTGGAGCGCAGTGAGCCCAGCAGAGCAAGTGAGCCAGCTCCCCCGGGGAGCCCTCCCTTCAGACACCAGTTTGGGGTACAGTATGTGCAAGTCTGGCCCGTGCCCAGGTCTGTCACACGTTAGGGCAGGAGAAGAGTAACCCTTATGCAGCTCCCTCCTCCTGGACTCTCAGGCTCCTGTTGGTGTCTGCACAGCCCCCCTTGTACGTGCGGGCCTGATGTGACAAGGAGCAGTCTGTGCTATGTCTGGCTCACAAGGCAGGAGTCTCAGGTGATCTTTGCTCTGGGAGCTCTGCTGTCAGGCCCAGCATTGCAGCAGCCAGCCCTGTTGCACAGGGAGCTGGGACCTGCTCTGCGTACTTGGTGCCGTGGTTTGGGGTGAGACAGCCTCTCTCAAGGAGAGGAACCTTTGTCTGCCAGCCTGGGATAAGGCTCAGCCCTGCCCATCTGCACAGCACCCACTGAATGTCCAGAGCCAGTCACAGCATTTCTAGTGTTGCAAGTCTCTGTTGTCATTGTGTCCCTGCCCAGGAGCCTCTGAATGCTTGCTTCTTGACTTCGTGCTTCCAGCATTGGCCCAGTCTGGCAGTGGTTGGGGCCATCGTTGCTTGCAGCGTGCTCCAGGTGGTTCTCTGCCTGGTCCTCCAGCTGGGACACGCTCACCCTGCTCCAGTCTCTAGGCAAAGGTGTGCTGTGTGCAGCAGCCATCTCAGCTTGGTGGCTCATCCCCAGTTCACGCCCTGTGTTTGGTGCTCTGCTGGCTTGGGGAATGTGAGGAGAACCTTGGTCTGTCTCTTCCCTTGTGTGGCTGTGTCTGAGCTCCAAGGATTTCATCAGCCCAGTACTGCAGGTGCCATTTTTCCCCTTCCTGCTTGTAGACGAGTCTTGTCCTTGTCATGCCTGGTGGGTGACTGTCTTGTGAAGGTGCTGGGGACAGCCCTGCTGCCCCAGAAGAGGCTCTGGGCATCCCAGTCTGGATCCTGGTAGAGACCTACTTTTCTGTTTGTTTGCTTGCTTGCTTGCAAGGAGGAGGAAGAGGAGGAGGAAGATGAAAACCTTGATGAAACTTTATCTGGGTAAGTGGTGAGCTGGTGCCTGTGTGTAAGGAGCACTCTCGTGAGCCCTGTCTTGATTCCTTCTCCATGTCCCAAGCAAGGGGTACTGCTGAAGCCACGAGTTTTGTGGGAGCTAGGATGAAATCTGTGGGGAAACTTCTGCTGTTTTCTCTGTCTCTGTCAGCTGAGGTTGGATGTACAGGAAGCTAAGGTATGGAGAGACAGATTTTGCAGTTCAACTCTTGCAGTGCGGGGTTGATACTTACCCTGAGGACTTGAGTACAAGAGAAATCACTGGGTATGTTTCTGCCACTCTTTGCTGAGGACAGCCTATCCAGATGTGCTTCCCATGTTGAGCCCAGAGCTGGCCCTTTCCTTCCCCTGATTTCTGTGGGCATAGGCCAGGTTGGATGCCCACTCACGCTGATGGTGTGGACTAGGAGCTGGGACTGAGCTTGGGAGGAGGTCAGAAGTGGAGAATTAACCCATAGGTCTTTGCAGAAATGCCTGTGGTGATGGGTTTGCTGAGCCTGTTCCATTATGGCTGTTCTCATGCACCTGTTAAGCCGGTGCCTGAGGGGTCCAGCAATGTCAGCAGGCTGAGAGTGCTCTAAGTAGGTGTCACCCAGGGATCAACGTGTGCAAAGTGTGAAGGTGTGTATGTGTCCTTTTGATGTGGCCACTTGTTCCTGGGGGATTCCTGATGGGAAGAGACATGGCTTTGCAGCATCAGGGCAGGATGGCCTGGGGAAGGGGTTTGGTAGCAAGTAGGTTAGGGCCTTCTGCAGTCTGAGTGCCTAGTACTGCTGGGTCTGCACTGCCAGGGTCATGAGCGTGGGTCTCTCAGCAGGTGCTTGCTTGGAGATGATGGGTGCTCTGTTCTCTTCCAAAGCTGCATGGAGGAGCTGGGGAGGGGAGCCCATGGACCAACAGGTAAGCTCTCCCTCCATATTGCTTTTCTACCTCCGCCAGCGTGGCCTCGGCAGAGGGAGGAGGTTGATGGCTCTCTTGGGAAGGTCTGCTTCCCCTTCCTGTCCGTATTGGGTTCCAACCACAAATGTTATGGACCAGATCTCCCTCCCTTTTGCTTTTCAGAGTCGGCACCTCCTGTGCCCAGAACGAGCTCATCTGCTGCACAGCTGCCGCTGAGCTGGCCCCGCCTGGGGCAGCCCCCAGGCAGCCGGAAGGAGCCAGGAGGAGCTGGAGACCCCCCCACTGCTGGCCCTGGGACTGATTGCTCCAAGAACCCCCTGAGCTAAGCCACGTCTTTGCAGCAACTGAGCAGCCACTCAGGATTCACCCTGTGCCTGCACCCAGGCCACTCAGCAGCTGCCCTGCTCCCAGGCACAGGGGCTGTTGGCACCGCTGCTGTGCAGCGCGTGGACTGCAATGCCCACTCCTTGTCCTGCTGCCCACCTGCATGAACCGCCTCAAACTGCAGTTGCTCCCTACTCCCCTTTAAGCCTGATGGACTGGTGTTCATTGCTCTGCCTGCTGCTGGTGCAGGTATAGCCACCCCACGTGCTCTGAGCCTGCGGGATGTAGGTGGTGCTCCTAGGGCTGTGCTGATCTGACTTTGCTCCTTGTAGTGGCAACAGGGAGCAGCTGAGGCCGAGCAGCTTGCTGGGCACAGGGCTTGCTCAGCAAATTGAAGGTGCATATGACCCTTGGGAAGCCATAGCTCTTGGCCTGGAGGGGCCTCGCCCCTGCAGTTCAGCCCTGCACCCTCCCACGAGTGAAGCGAGCTGTTTTTGAAAGGAAAGCTCTGCATTTGTAGGGAAATAAACTGAGGGTTGATTTTGTTTTTATTTTTTTTATAGTTGTCCATTTGCTTTTAAGTGCTCAGCGGGGGCCTTGTGCAAGTGTGTGAAGTGCTGTGTCCACTGTGCTACCTGCAGGAAGGCATAGCTGGTGCTGTGCCCCTTAGGGGCTCCATGTGCACCAGCAAATGTTTGCACAGCAGGAGCTGACAGTGGACCCTGCAGAGGCCAGAGATGGCATAATGTCCCATGTGTCAGCAGCTCTCTACCCATTTCAACCTTGTGCCTGCTCTGCTGCTGCTGTCCTTCTGCACTTGGTCTCTGGTGTGGAGACATGGCCAGCAGGCTGCCTGGTTTCTCCAGCCAGGTTTGCAGCTGATTGCTATTCTTGCTGTGAATTATTCTGCTTCACCATCTCCTGCCACTGGGGAAGGCAGTGGGCTGTACCTGTTGCCTGGGAGCTGTCAGACTCCAGGCAGTACAAGTGCCTCCGTCTCCCTGAGACATGAGGTTGCTGCAGTGTGCCTCTGCTGATGCTGCAGCCCCGTGTGACTTCTTGCAGGACTTGGTGAGTGTCAGGTCTGCAGCTAATCCTGGGTTTTACCAGCTGCTGCAGTGAGTATCTTCCAGCTCCTTTTGTCAGCCTAGAACAGTTGCTGTGCCTGCTATGTATAACACGAGAGACATTGTGTTCCTTTTTTATTTGGCCACAGCTTTTGTATTCTGCTCTCTTCACCTGATGGGGAGAAGCACAGCCTCCTGCCAGCAGCCCTGGCATCATCTTCCTTCAGCAGCTGCATGTCGTGCAGCATGACAGGCCAGCCTGCAGTGCTGGTACTCTCTCAAAGGCCAGAAAGAAGTGCAGGATAGCCTTTGGGGACCTGCTGCAGAGCACGTGCTATCAAGAACAGGGCCATACACAGGAGTGCAAGAAGCAATTAGACGTGTGCCCCTCTTTTCCCCCCCACACCTGCAATACTGCATTGACAACGCTGCTTTTGAGCCAGGATGCTTTTATTGAAAAGACCCCGCCACAGGGAGTTGCTTACCCTGTCCCTTCCCAATCCAGTCCTGCAGCAGGAGCTGAACAGCACCTGGAAGTGAGAGTCCTGAAAGTGCTTTGCTGGGAGGTTTATTCCTGGAAGACGCTGGATCCTGTGATGCTTGGGTCCAGGGCTGCAGAGCCAGCGCCTGGCTCAGTGACCAGCCACAGAGCAGAGCACGGAGGGAAGAGCAGCAGCAAGGGCACCAGGCACGGCCTCTGTGGCAGCGGGGCTCCTTGTGTCACCCTGCATCCCCTGCCTCTGGCACGAGAACATCGCTGGCCCAGACCTCAACCTCGGACACAACACGCATCCCACCAATCCAGCCAGGCTGGCTGCATTATGCACGCAGTGCACACTCACAGTGAGCCCTGACAGAGAAGTGGTAGAGCCACAGCAGTGTGCTGGCCAGACCCATTCCCATTGCTCTGTGAGCCTCGCCTCACCCACGGCACTGACGCTCCCTGCCCTGCTGCAGCCCAGCCAGGCACTGCAGCAGCACTAACTCCTCAAGCTCTCATTTGTGTTTTTGTCCCCTGTGCCAGGGCGAGGCGTGGGAAGCCCCTCACTGCAATGATGGGGTGCAGTGGGCCCCATCCTCCAGCAGGGACTCGCTCTCACAGCCCAGCCCCCCTGCCTCCTTGCCATGACCTCACTGACAGCTCTGGGGCCAGCATCTGCACTGCGCCCTCCCCTCAGCCTCGGAGCCAGAAAGGTGCAAATCCTTCCCCCCCAGCACAGCAGAGAGAGCCAGGTCTGCCCCAGAACATCTCCTCGGCAGGAATCTGGTGCCACACAGCTGCACCACAGCCTCTGGCCAAGCCTGGGCTCTGGGATGCTGCCTCCCACCGGGGCTGTGTGCAGGACAGGGCAGCAGCCCCTCTGCTCCCCCACAGGCTGGTGGCATGCCCCCACTCCATCGCTCAGCTCCACACTCCTTAGCGGCAGGGAAGCGGGGCCAGGCATACATGCACGGCCGGGAGCCAACTCCATGCACATCCCCAGACAGGTGCCCTTGGGAAAGCGTAAGTTCGGATACGTGGATCTTCGCATGCAGAGTTCCAGGCTGGCTGCCTGGTGCTGCCTCCTCTTCCAAGGCCTGTTTTAGCTCTGACGTGATGCCCAGGAGCCCAGATGCAGAGCTGGTGCTGCACTTACACCTCGATTATATTGACAGAGGGAGATTTCTTCTATGAGAGAAAAAAAAACACATTTTGAGGCTATGCTTTATGGAGACCTTGGGAAATCTGGAGGAGGAAAGAGAACTTGGCCCTCAAAGTCCTGAAAACCAAGGAGACATAATCAGGCCAGTGGGCAACATGGGAATGGAGTTTGCACGATGAATAGAGACGACAGATGAGACCCAAGGGAAAAAACTACTGCAACATCCCATTAGAGCAGGTTCTCTTTGTTGAGTAACAAAGAACAAGTCAGGTGCTGACCTCTCTGAGATGCAGAAGAGGTGTAGCCTCTGTGTGGGGTGGTGATGGGGCACTGTCTGTGCAGCGAGAGGACAGCTACCATCCTGCAGTATGGGAGCCATCCCAGCAGAGTTGTCCTGCCATCACAATGGCTGTTTCTCCTGCACTCACACATGGGGCACACAGACTGCCCCAGGGCTCACTGCTAGTCCTCGGCTTTTGGAGTGAGGACACAAACTGGGGTGTTTTCTATTTCTGGAGAGAGGAAGAACCTGTCCAGCCACTAAGGCACAGCAGATGTTACATGCCAGCCCTTCTGTCAGCCCTCGCCCTCACCTTGCTCCGCAGCAGTCCTCCAGAGGGTCGCTCTGGAGTGCTGTGCTCCGAGGATGGCTTCGTCTTCTCCTTGTTGTTGTTGGAGTCGTTGTCCTTGATGATGTCATACTGTCTGCAGAAGAGGGCGATCACAGCTGCAGAAAGAGGAGGGATGAAGGACTCCCTCAGGGCTGCCCCCTTCTCCCCTCCCCATTGTCACAGCGGGAGAGCAGCCAGGGCCAGGGGTTGGGGTGATGGTTGGACTTGATGATCTTAGAGGTCTTTTCCAGCCTTAACGATTCTATGAAAATGGAGCCAGAAGCATCTAGAAGAACCAGTGCCAATGGTCTTGCAAGGAAGGAGGATGCCAGGACCATGCCACCATTCCTCTGCACTCTCTGAGCCCCATCCTCTCTGTGGACCCAAGACTGTACCTCTGTCCCAGCCTGCTGGAATGCTATTAGTGGCACTCACCTGCCCACATGAGCAGCACGGCCACGATGATGATGATCTCTCCTGTCTGCAGTTGCCTGTCTTTATCCAGCCCTTCCATGGTGATGTCACCTGTGGAGAAGAGCAGCCGGCCAGGGCTGGCACTAATCACCCTCCCAGCAGAACCCACCTCATAACCAGCATCATTCAAGGATCTGAGGAGCTACAGAGAGAGGCCCACTTCCCCCTGACAAACAAACGTTGACTGGGAAGAAGGCATGCAGCCTACGGCTTTCCATAAAGACCCACGCTGCACATCATCTCTCTTGGATTCACGGCCAGCATTTAGGCAACCCCAGGCAACAGGCACAGCGTGGCTGAGAAGTGGAAAGGAGACGGCCCCACGAGTGGCACTCGGGCAATGCCTCACCTTGGTTGGAGCTGTTGGAGGGGAGGCGGTCGGTCTCCTTCAGAGTCCGGAAGTGGACGCGCTTGCTGGCCTGACTTTCCCCATAGAGGCCGATGCTCTGCACCTGGATGATGTAGTCGGCATCTTCTGCCAGGTCCCACAGCACGCAGGCCCGGTTGGTGGTGTTCACCTCCCGGATGAAGCGCTGCATCTGACCATCCTGCCGCTGCCAGAGTGAAGAGCTGTCATCCCCCAGGGAGCTGATCCCAGCTGCACCCTGCCTGCAGGGCTCTGCTGAGTGCAGTTGCCCTCACTCCTCCCTTCCCAGGCAATCCTCCACCCCTGGGGTGGGCCGGCACCTCGCTCCGCAGCATCTCTGTGCGGCCAGAGGGACCCCCGGGGACACGGCCTGGGTACCTGCTGTAGGATGGCATAGCCGATGACCACGTCTCCTTCTGGCACATCCCAAGAGACGGTGGCAGAATTCGCCTTCAGCTGTGTCACAGTCACATTGACGGGGGATGGCGGCCTGTCTGGGTGAGCAGGGGTGGATCGATGGGAGAGAAGCAAAAGATCTGTCAGAAAAGGCACTCGTCCTTCCCTTTCCCTCCAACCACGGGGGTTTTCTCCAGCATTCGCCCACTGCAGCTCAGATTTTCATCTATTGGAAAGTATCCTGCAGAGTCGCAGCAGGGCTGCCTGGCATGGCATGCTGCTGCTCAGCCCAGACACAGCAGCTTCTTGGTAGTAAAG